ATATTATATATTATTACATATATATATTATTACAAAATTAATGTGAATTTTTAGATTGAAAAAGTAAATTAAAAAAATAAAAAATACTTATAAGAACTAACACTAGTAGATTATGTGTGTACATAAATTTACTTTGTATATCTATAATTGCATAAAATATGAAATATAATCAAAATCAATAAGAATTACTATACAGGATTATAAAGAAATATAGTCAATAAAGCTTACTTTTTTCTATGAAAATAAATTTATGTATACATAACAATCTTCTAGTGCTGCTTCTATAAGTATTTTTTATATTCATTTGATTTATATATACATTTAAGTTATACAATAATCAATCTTCAAGATCATCATATAACTCATTTTGTCAGTGAGGAATCATTTAAACAAGTTCAGAAATAATAAATAAATGTTTATTGCAGTGTACATTTCAGTGACTTACAAAATTTATACATCATTAAGTACTACGATTTGTTTTTCTTTTTTCAATTCTTTTGATTCTATCTTAGCCTAAAATAGAATCATACTTTATATAGAGGTTTTGTTTCTCCATCTTCAAACTCTGGTATTATCGTCTGGTTGTCTTTCATCTAGAAGGGAATGTTCTATTGAATACAAAGTATGAAGATGACGAGATGTACAAAAGCTGGACTTACTTTGACGTGAGCATATAATATAATTCCCACTAACGTTAGAGTTATACCTATGACTTGATTTATCGCTAATATTTCATGGAAAAGTAACGAGCCTCCCAGCAGCAGAAGACAGAATTTGGAATGTCCAACCATATTATATCTGAACATCTTGTTAAAGAACATCTTGTATTATGTGCAAATTTGTATATCTCGTAATATTAATGTAAGGATACGTTAAAGGCGAGGTCTTTCCTATGATCCAGTAAGACGTTAAATTCACAAAGAAAGCAACTACACCTGATAGTATCACCATGATCTATAAATAAAGTACAATATGATCATTTAATTTTGTGATCTCAAAAGCTTCTCAGATCTATCTGCTATTGTTTCAGAAACATACCATATCCAACAATGACCACTTGTGCGTGAATGTCTGTCCAACAGGCTCCAAAATCGGGACAACAATTAACAGCATAACAGCAGATAATGGTGCTTGATAGAATAACAATTGCATTGGATCCATCTGAAACTCTTTCTGCTTTCTGTTTATCATCTGTAAGAAGCAATAAAAAAAATAATCAGTATCTATATGTATCTAGAATTTATATATAATACATAAATTCTGACTTTCTTATTTATCAAAAATAAGAAATAACAATAGGACATACAACTTGATATAGAGACGTTACAAATACTCCCAGCGTTGCATAGATGGTTCCAATAACGTTGAATTGTATGTCATAATAAAAATTGACTATGACTCCCAGTGTAATCGGTATCAGGGTCAGCTTAACAAGTATACCAAAATGCTTTCTATAAAATATCATCTGCATTACTATCACGCAGGGTGTCGTTAACATTTTTGCCACCTGATAAGTCCCGACTGTATTGTGAGCCAAACTCAGATTCGTTAAAACGACAAATCCGCAAAATGTCATGGCAATGAACACCATTTCCTTGATGTCAATACTTTTGACGCAAAAGACATCTAGCTTTTCACAGATTATCAAGCCGATGAATGTCATAAAGAAATGTATCATGGACAATGTGATATTCGGAAAGCGGGTATGAATGTAGAGCCATTTGTTGAGAAGCACAATTATAATTGAGAAGGCTATATTTAGCGTCAAGTAAAACGCCGTGACCACCTTTTTATTCATCTTTTGTAGAAGCCTGATAATGCTATCGCTGCGAAAAATCAGTAATTCCGTTAACGATGACTTTTAAGACATTGTTACATCTTGTACGAGTATACACAAGAATCCTGACTGCAATGAATCCTGGCTAGAGAATCATAATAATAATACTATTTCATTCAGGTTCATTTATTGCTCCATCCAACAATCACATAGTTCGTATATATCAAATGGTGTGCCATGTTCGAGTGTCTCGAGCATCCGCTATCACTTGGCAATCATTTAACATTTCAGTTTTAGACCATTTCAGACTAATTGATTAATTCCACCATATGATAGACTGCGATAGACGTTATGATCACGGATTGCTTTGAATTCGAAATACTCCGAAAATGGCGAAAGTTAAGCTGCCGTATTTCTACGCCATCTGGAAAAGTAGACAAATTTTTGAAACGAAAATTCATGATTATTACTCGATCGGTCATGTAAATTTGAGTTTGAATATTAATTTTTTTTTTCCAATGATTTTATACACTTTGAGATAACTAAATAAAAATTGGTGTTTAATTAATTTATTTATTATGAAAGAGGAAATACAAAAGATTAGATTCATAATCAATTTTTATCTTTAAAACTATCTCTTAAAAATAATCTTAAAATGTCATTAACCAATCAAAGAACTATATTAGCATCTTAAGACATTACTTAATTAAGACAGTCTTAAAATAAGAACCGATTATAGATACAATACCTTACATTCTTATTTTATATTCATACTTTACATGATGGTCGAGAGGGCGCAAACGATATTTTTCAATCATATTTGTTGAGATCGCCTTTAATAGTATTTTTCGTCGATGACATAAGTTGAAACACGAGGCGAGCGCCAAAAACCGTTCGATAACCGCTCAAGTCGGCGGTTTTTTCTGTAATGTAAAGTGATAAACTCGTTTTAGTGTCTCTCTGCAAAGCATTGGAACATGATAGAGTTCCCGCTGGGATATCGTGAAGTCGTGCCGGATCAAGCTCTGCCAGAGAAATGGAAAGAGATCACTCTGAACACAGGTAACCGTGTTCTAACCTCCTCTAGCCGGAGTTCGCCCGGCAAACCAAAATTTCACTCACGACGTCACATAAAAATGCTTTGAGGAACTATCCGTGGCGACGTGCAAGCACAACGCTCGCGGAATAATGTATTGTGTAACATTTGCAAGTTGAAGTATCATTTTTGTATCGTCTAACCTCTCATTTATTGCCCATTCTTATGTAAATTGATTTTGGATGCTATAAATCAAGTGGTACACGTGACTGACTCTAAATTTATACATACGTCAAACATGTATATCAATTTACTGCGTTTTGATAAAATTACATAATTTTAAAATTGCACATTTATTAACTGTTATATTAATTATTATTATATAAAATTTTATAAGAAATTGTATAATATATGATAAAAATTAATTGCATTATTATTATTATGGTTGGTATTATTGTTATTAAGAAGAGAAATAGCTAAAAAGAATCTTATTTTTATAGGCGGAAGCCAAAGTACATTGCAAGATATAAAAGTACCAGAGAGAGCAGGTGGCTACTCATACAAAGATTCTTCAAAGTATTTCACTCGTAATCGCTTTATTTATTGGCGCATTTGCCATGATGTACTTGAATTAGTGGAACATAGTTTGGACATTAATCTTGCCAACTGTCGAGTGAGATACAAATTTACAGACACTCCAATTCTAGATGGAATTTCTATTCATGAGACAATCAATTCTGTCATTATCTTGATTGTCACTGTTTCCAGTGTCCACAAGCTTTTCTTTTCTCACCCGGATAAAATTCATAATCAAGTATGTCTGAATTTTACTACTTGTTTTTATAAAAAATTGTATATCTTGTTATAAAAAATTATTTTGTTAATATTTACTTTTTTCAAGGAAAATCTATTGGGAACATATACTGATCTCAGTGTACAATCTATATTTAGCGAAGCTTCTGTACAAAATGCTAGAGATCCTCATACATTTCATATTATTTCTAACGCTGGAGCCACAAGTAAGCATGCAGATTATTAATGTTTTTTAACAAGAGATATAATGATACAGTAGTTATTTCATCTCTGTTTAAACAAGGATGTAATGATTCATTGTGTTACACTGTATCTCTTATTGGAAAGCATCCTATAGCATAATACGGCAATAATAAATTCAATTTTGTCACTGCTAAATAAATATATTTACCAGGCATTCACTTAACAATTTTTTTTCAGACTCCCCAGTGCCTCATGCAGCAGCGTCATGGCTTACGTTGCCACAGGAAGAGGCACTGTTTGCCCTTGCATACAGTTCAGCCACTATATTACTCTTGAGACTCGATGCACTTACAGGTCTCGTGCACACCAGTGAACTGAAACAAGATTCGATAATGCCCAAATTTTTAAGTGGCATAGCCACTGCCTTTAGAGGTCGTAATACCGAAGCTTACGTGGCTATGTCTCTTGTTATACATAGTTACGATAGCGATACATATCTATTTGCATTATGTCGAGAGGGCAATCTACGTGTATGGTCTTGCAACAAGACACAATGCGTAGCTGTAACAGATGCAGCTACTGAGAATCGTGTTGTATCTCAAGGTGCACAAGGTCACGTCTTACGGAAAGTGCTGGGCAACGATGACGAATTGTATCTTGGAACTTTCTTAAAATTTGGCACGGGATGTGAATTCAGCATTCTGAAGCCTGTGCAGGACAACGGCATGTTCAAATTTATTAGATTATGTACATTATATGCTCCAGACGTAAGTACTTTATTAGCTTTTCTTTCTATATATTTTACTGTGATAAGAGCGTAACGAATTTGTATTATTTGTACACAGCAACATTTGGTAGATTTTGCATTTACGCCAACTAGATTGTGGGCAGTGTGGAGAACTGCGGACATGGATGCGATGGCAGTGACGCATGCACAATTACCGTTAACGCATCGCATTAAACCAGAATGGGAAACTGCAATTTTAGAACCAGCGCGTGACAGTGATTATATTGCAACTGATGAACCTGGACTAGATCCAAGAGAGGCATACATTAATTACATTTTTCATCCTGGAATGTTTTCGTTGGCAGACATCACGAAAGCTCTCAGCATCTACAGGAGATCCAATGTTGTAGCAGATATGACTTTTTCACCAGCCGTTTTAAAAGAAAGAGTATGTATGGCTGTAGAGGCTGAAATGCAGGCAGAAGTGATGGATTACGTGATTATGGATGAAGATTATCTCGAAATCGCTAATCGATGTTGGTCGAAATTCTATTCATGCGTCGTCCAATATCACGCCAATGGTACTCGTCCTGTAGGTCTACTTCTATTACCGAGCGTTTACGGCGTTGTGTTATTGAAGAAGTCCTCGTTCTCATTTTTGAGACCTATGGAAGCTTTAGAACATCTGGTGCTTTGCAACAATAAATCCTATATTTCTCGATTCAAGACAACGCCCATTCTATCGCAAGATGAAGACACATGTCAAGATCTAATTACATTAATGTCCGCGTTAGTCTTGTTAGGAGAACAGTTATCTGAAGAAACTAAAACGGAAATCGAGAGAGAATTGTATCATTTAAGAAGTCCAGATATCATAATTGATGATTTGCTATCAAAACTGTTAGAACCTGACGATCCAGTGAGTATTTTAATTAATTTTTACTCTATTTTTCTTTATGCAATGTACTCTTATGTAATATATATATATATATATATATACTGTTACAAATAGCTGTCGGATTTTGACTTCCAATCAGAACTCTGTCATAAACTGAGTCATGTTAAAGATATATCAGGAGCTATGGCCATGTTGTTGGAAGCTTTAACATATGATCTTGGGCAGCCAAATAAATTGCAATTTGAAGATGACCATGATACTTCGAAACTTTTGTTAAATGTCAATCATTTATTTGGCAGTCAGCTAGGAATTGCCACGATAGCGGAAACCATAACACAAATAGCGCTTCTGAGATTTTCCATTTGCAGGGATTTATTGATACTGCAACAACTCATACTACTTCGTCCTGAGATATTTAATTCGAGATCTTTACATACTATAAGATCATCGTTAGCACCGAGAACCGTTGTACTTACTCAAGCTTACTATGTCGTTACATGGCTATGCGAATCGACAGCATTGTACACACCTTCACAATCATTACTGTAAGTCTTATCATTTTATATTATAATAAATATAAATTTATTTCTGGCCTGATTTAAACAGCAACATCAAGATCATGTTAAAGAAGATTACAAAATTTCAGCGAATCCAGTTCTCAACGTCTTTCAACTCTTAAACTCGCTGATTCGCGAATTAATGTTGGACAGAGGCAACATCGATCTCTCTCACTATTAGAATTGTTTATTCATAGCAGCGGTGCAAAACACGCTCATATTTTGATGGCTCAAGCGAACATGGACCCAACAACTCTGATACCTTGGCACTACAGTATGCTAACGCATGTGACGCTTATCGCGCAACTTATGTATCCTTTAATAACAGTTTCAATTTTTGATAGACATAATTTTTGGATCAACGATTTTTTTATGTCAAGTTCAAATAATTCAAGATTTATGTTTGTTTCTATATATTTTCTTGAACGATGCAATTAGATGGCCGATATCTGGAAATTTTATCTTCCCTGAATGGCTACTCTCCAGTTGCCAATTCCTGCTTGTTCAAGAATATGTGAGACTTCTGAATACATGGTGCGAGTGGAATAGCGCTTCGAGGAAATTTATATTAGCAGTTGCCTTATTAGAAATGGGAGAGATGCAAAAGGCATGCGATCATTTTCTTCGTGCTTCCGACGGGATATTGACTGATCCGTTTTTAGTAGATGCCTTACTCAATTCTAACGTGACATCGAGAAATAGGGATTTGGTTTATTATTATCTGAAAGTTATCAAATTATTTGAGGAGCACAATGCGTCCGACTGTATCATAGAAATCGCTGAAACGGCCATAACAAATGCGGATGCAGATGATCCGAATTTGCCGACACTTCATTCCATAATATTCGCACAACATTTAAGTTTAGGTCATCACGCGGAAGCTTATCATTGCTTGAACGCGAATCCAGATCCTGTACGCAGAGTGGACTGCTTACGGCAATTAGTTGTTACGTTGTTCGAAAAAAAATTGTTGATAGATTTAATTTCTTTTCCTTATATCGATATGTATGAGGATCTCGAGAGAATAGTAGAAGGCAGAGCCAGAAGCGTTGATCTTATGGAAAACAATTATTATAATTTTTTATATAGTTTCCATATCAATAAGCAAAACATGCGGAAAGGTAAGTTTCTTGTTCTGTTACTGAGCATATATATATATATATATATACACATATTATCAGCTATAAACTTTTATTATATTTTTACAGCCGCATCTATAATGTACGAACAAGCTATGCGTTTGAGTCAAGAACCTCACTCTGCACCAATTATAGCGAAGCAAGCACAATGTCTACTAGCGTGCATTAATGCTTTACATCATGTAAGTGAAAAGTACAGGTGGATCGTAAGGCCTGTAATTGATCAGAATATCTCTAGCGAAATGAACTCGTCGAATCTACAAAAGAAAAGAGATATTGATGGTAAAGAGGTTTTGCATTATAAGATAAAAAAACAAGTCGAAGTACTCGAACTGGATGATATCAAAAAGGAGTATTATATAGTAGATGCAAGATTAAAAATATCGAAAATAAATTCAGAATTGCATATAGTTGCACATACTGGTAAATGTCTCTTAACTGTGTAATTTGTCTTTATGAAGAAATCGACCGAAATTTTATATATATATTCATATATTTCAGAACTTTCCGAACTTATCGTCACTTTATGTAGCATTGGCTTATACGCAACAGCGTTACATTTATGCGATGTATTTAAAATTAGTAAAGCCTCTGTACTCAAAAGTTTGACTTCTCAATGCATCAAATTGAGTCAACGCGAGGATCCAAACGCCTGGGATTGGCTAATACAAAATGATATATTCGGTATGCATAATTGTATTATAATTTTGCAAACTAGCACTGCAGAACGATATTTTTTTCAAGAGCTATATACATATGTAACAATAATTATTCTTTAGATATTGGAATATCTAATACAACCATTACAAATACTGCTTGGAGATTGTTAGAGTACTTCACATTGAAGCACGAAAAAAGTGATAATTGCGAATTACATAAGGCCGTTGCACAAAAATTATTGCAAGATGGAGTTTTTCTACCACAATGGTTATTAATATCTTATAAAGTAAGTACTTAATCAAATTTATATAGTATTTGTATTTCTCGTCCTCCTCCTCTTCTTTAGTCCTATTACTCATGGCCAAGCGTGATGACTTCTCTCATATGCCTGTAGTATGCACGCTGATTGTAGTCATAATATTTCTATGTTGATAAAATATTTTATTTACATTAAAATATTATAGAAGCGAAATGCGTCAGAGCTTCTCCGTCTCATGCTAAATACTGGTCGATTAGTGGAAGCCAGCGACTTAGCGATAGATTACATTAACGCGGTATTAGGTAGCGGTAAAGAACATTTTGGTCTTGAAACACCATTAGTAGCTACCGCGCCACCTGTTTGGTTACCGCTTAATACTATAGAAGTATTATTAAGTGAATTACGGCACTTGAAAGATGACTCAGCTCATGCAGAGGTAAAGTATATATATTTTTAAATATATATATATATATATATTTTTTTAAATATATAATTTTAAAAATATATAATTATTAAATATATAAAT